TATTTAGCCAACGGGCCTGTCTGATTGTCTGGCTGTCTAACTCCGCATTACCCTCACTTTTTTCCGAAAGTATCCTGGAGAAGTGTTAACTTGTTTGGCCAAGATTTACAAGTCGTCGCTGATTTCTTTTGCTCACCTTTTTCGATGCCTCGGGCTCTGCCAACTAAACTCCAATTCAAATGCAGCTGACAAAAGCATAAATCGGTTTCTGGCAACTGACTTAAACTCACTTTGATGTGCGAATAGACGACGAGGTATGAAAGGCTGTTGTAAATTTCAATTTCTGTCAAAAAGAATCAACTTGAACGGAGACGACAGGACACCTTGGGAAAACCACTTAACCGCACTTAATGCCACAAACCATTTTACAATTTCAACTGTCTGCTGTCTGCGGTCCCCTACCAAAAATTCCCCACTTAAGTGCCTCGGTACATGGCTCTTTTTACAGTCATTAAAGTTAATTGTGTATGGAAGAAAATTGTGTGGCAGGAGAGCAAAACGGGTGCAACAACTATGGAAACACAGAGAAAATTATATACTAAAAGCAAATAAAAATCAAAAGGTCGGGATTTTAAGGTGATAATTGGCGTGGAAGCTTACACAATTCGAATCAATTAATTTGTAACTTAAATGCATAGTATTTTTCTCTGTGCAAGCACAAATGGAAAATTCAGCGGCTGACATTTCTGCGGTGTGCCACCAAAAACTGGACTACTTAAATCCTTAAAATCCATAAATTACCACACGCCCCACGTCTGCGGGAATTTTTCTTAATTAATAATAAGTTTCAAGAGCGTTGGCATAGCAACATGCGCCCACCTTAGTTGATTACGTTCTCCACCTGATTTTCCCGACTTCCCCTTAACTTTGTGTAACTCAATGCCATGGCTTTTCACTCCTTAATATTGCTGTTGTTTTTCCAGGGCGTCTGTCTCGTTTTCGTTCTTTGTTGTTTTTGTTGGTGCAGCAGCGTCTATTAATTAAATTAAAAAAATCACAGCCATCGTTGTCGTGAATGCCCCTTCCAATCGCACTACTCATCAGCTCATCAGCTTGCAAACTATGCAAAAATAAAAAAATAATTAAATTGAAAGCATGAGTACTAATCGAAATGGGTGGGTGATCAGTTTTAAAAGCGATAACTTTGCTCTTGCAATTCAATGTCCATTAACTATGTTTATATAGCTTAAAATGTAATGTAACATGTTTAAGGCGTTAATAAAAACTGTTCAATATTTTAAGAATGAACAACCCTAAATGCTCCTTCTACGTATGCCATCCATCGCCATGCTAGCATCTTTCTTTTGTTCTCGAAATGCAAATCATTTAAACAATTAACCAGCCCGTCTGGCCAACTGATTCAATTGAACTCGGCCGACTGATCAACCGAGAAACCAGTGGCCCCCGATTGCAGTAGTTTAAAGTTTAAACAGTTCATTGGACGCTGCTGTACTTGTTTATATGAATTTATTTTTTATATTTATCCAGCCGTTGTTTCCCTTTTTTGTATTTTTATTTTTTGCTTTTTGCACATTCCGCTGGACAATTATGCATTATTTACAAAAGTTAATTGCCGACGCGCTACAGCATTGTTCAACAAGACCACGCCCACTTGGAGGAGGGCAATTAACAACATTATTAACTCTGTTCGCCGGCACATTGGGAAAATTGCTGGAAATGGGAAATGGGAGGAGGACCCACAAGCGGCACTTTGAAATGCTAATGAAATTGCCTTTTAAAGCAGAAGCTGCAAGCTGAAAACTGAAAATCGAAGAACAGAAACAGCAGCTGAAAGTGAAGTCCTCCGGCCTCCCTTTTTTTTTCTTGCTTAATTGATAAATTGATTAAATTGCAAAAAGCCTTAATTGCACAACCACATCAGTCACACAGAGCGCAATCTCTCGAAATTTAACATTTAATTTGGCCGGGCAAATTGCATTGCCTGCTTCCATTGTCCCGATCCTGCGAAGGAAGCTTCGTTAATGCGATGTATTTTGTCAGCTGATGAAGTGTCACATCAGCTCGGGTTGCCGGTTTCTGGATTCCGGATTCAATTGGATTTGGCTTTGTCTGCTCCTTTCCACTGCGGTGGCCAATTCGAAGGATAAATTACTGATTTCGTCTATTGTCTGCGTTGCCTGCGTTAGTTACTTCTGGTCAACGTGGACTTGAGTGGGGTATAATCCGCAAAAGCGATTTGCAGTTGCAGGAAAAAAAATAATGGGGACTGGCATTTAAAATATATGTGCCTTCAAACTTTTTGTCCAACAAGATACACAGTATTTCAAATAAAAGTAGTTCTACCTCACCTTTGATGATCACAAATATATTCTTTTTTTATTTTTCCAAGTGCATGCTCTATCTGCAAGTGCAAAACTTATCGCATAAACTTGCACGAAATGTTTGAGTCCTAACCATTTGATTACCCGTTGGCTCGTCATAATCATCGAACGTTTTCCCACTATCCCTTTTTATGGCTTTCTAAGGCTGCCAATCCTTTGCCAGCTCAACACTCTCTGAGTTTTGGAAGTTTTTGGGGGCCTTTAGATTTTAGTACCCGTTAAGTCCTTTGGGGCGAAAGTAAAAACGAGCTTCATGCGCCCCAGGCATGATAGGTTTTCTTTCTAACCATATATCTCTGTTCCCCCTGACATTTTCCTCTTTCACTCTCTTTGCTGAGATCCTTGCAAATTTATTGCATTTCCTCGATGAAGTTTTCCGCACTTTTTCTTCGTTTCTGCTGGCCTTTTTCCTTTTGTGGTTTTGCTTTGATTTAATTTGGCCGCTGCTGTTGTCTGTATACCCCTGATTGACCCCAACTCTTTCCTTTTTTCCTGTGATGCTTGCAATTTGCGAGCTTTGTTCAATTGGCTTTTCTGGGGTCCTGCCAATGTCCAAGTTTTGTGTTCTCGCCATGTCCTGTCACTCATGCGTCAGCGGTATTTGCTGGGTGTCGGACTTTAAATCACCCGAGGTCTCTCGGATTAGAAAACTTTTAAAGTTGCGAGACGCCTTTTGGCACTGGAGCCAACCTGCCTGCCACAAAATGCTCATTTCATAGTTTCGGCTTGGCAATCCAACCAACAAGAGTGTGGTTCATAAATTCGGGGGAAGAACATGACCAGAGTTGATGTAATGCTGTGTGGCAACTCGGCTGTTGCGGTGGCGTTGCATAATGTGCATACAGTTAAGGATGAAATGGTAGCACAAAGCACACTGTACACACCATGGAATTTCTACTCTTTTCACATTATATCTCCTAGTTCTATATTTCTGAACAGAACTGTAACATCCCTCGCCTTTCAAAAAATCTGCCAACTCCCTTATGGCTTGTACTTTATGTTGAACATATTTTATTGATTACATTTCCAGCTCCAACATTTCCAGCTCCAGCATTTCCAACTCCGGCCTCTTTTCCGGCGTGTGTTGGCACAACTTTATGAGATTTCTTTCCCCAGACCATCGAAAGATGATTTTGGGGCACTTCGCATTGCATTCTGGACGCTTCGTCTCATTCCGCCGTTGACTTGGCAAATAAATGGCTTATTTGTAACGACGATTTGCGGTAATTTTGTGATTTGTGGTGGGTGACATCATTCATTTGGACAGGGGTGGAACGTGGAACTTCTGTGTTTCAGTCTCCCTTGGGCTGCATATTTACCCTGGCTATTAATTAAACATATTGGTTGCTTTGGCTAGCGCCATCTTAGGGCTTGTCATAATTTATTTTTTCTGCCGCCAGATGATGGCCATTACTGGGAAGTGTAAGAAATGGCCAGAATCAAAGAATTTGATGAGGAATCGAAGCTTTTTTCCTGGTACTCGCTTTGTGCCTCCTCACTCGACTTGATTACAATTTATTGACTTTTTGCCGGGGAAATCCTCTTGGTTTTTTCTTCGACTCCCTTTTGGCGACTCTGCCACGCCCACTTGTATGCATATCGTTAGCAAATTGCAGGCTCACCAGGACGCCCGAAAAAAGGATTTGCATGTGTGTCTGTGCCGTGCTGGCGGTAAGCTAATATCCAACCAATTTCCGTTTGACTCGCTTCGCGTTTTCGTCTTTTTCCCGTCGAGGGGATATTCAGACCAGGTAAACTTGGCCAACATGGTCCTGCTGGTTCAGCCTTTTGTGTTTCCGTTTTAGAAATTGGAAGGCTGAAAGCGGCGCGTTCCGCCTCTCCAGTGTCCTTCCTGATTTCACCCGTTTCGTGTCCTTTTTTTCGGCGCAGCCATATAAATTTGTACAAAAGCTTAGCCAATTTTTTCGCCTTTTTGTTTGCCAGTAGCTTCGCCGTCGTCCTGAACTCATTTGCATATTCGGCGCATTCGAAATACCCTCGATGTTTGCTCTGAACACCCATCCAGAAACCCCTGGCAATTTATCCTCATTCCCCTCTTTATGAGCTGTGACTATTAATGGTGTTTGGGTTAAACTGCTCTTAAAGCGTTTCCAACGAAAATAACTAAACAAATAACTTTTGGACAACGATTTTTAAAAGATTTTAAATATTTTCCGTAAATTTGTCATTCTTGCCTCAAGTTGATTGCAAGAAAATGTAAACATTGGCAAGCAAATGTCAGATTCAGGCTAGGAGCCAGGAAAAAAGAGGACCGCAATCCGGTGGTTTTACAGCCATAGACCACAAAGAGCTTGGCATATTGACCCCAAAAATGGGAGGCTGTCCGGTAGGCGTTGATTGGCATTCCGAAACCCGAAACCTGAGACCCAAACTCCTCTGCTCCTCTTTCACCTACAGCTCACTGTCAAAGCTAATGGCTCGAAGGGTGAAAATTGCAAAGTGAAGTTGGGTGGATGGGCCGAAAAACTGAAGTGGCTTTCCTGCCACTTGAGCGTTTATGGATATTGACATCTCAATGGCCGGACTCTGTAATTTAATTAGGGCAGAGTTGGCCCGGAGGAAGGAACCTGAATCTGAACCTGAACCTGTAGAGAACTCGAACTAAACTTTGGCTTTTCCTTTGTTCCCTGCTTGCAGCCATTTCCCGCGAAGATGGCGACGAGTCGACGCACCACCATCACCACCACCATCATCACCGCGGTGGACATGGCGGGCACCACAACCACGGTAACAAAGTTCCATACAACGGCTACAATTCGGAGGAATACTTGGACCGGCTCGAACCGAATGGCAATATACCTGCTGACAAGACAAATTGCAGATATGGAGGTGAGCTAATGAAATTTCCAACTAATATCTATGCCCAATTCGCCTTTAAAATAATATTACAAATGCCTTTTGAGTAAGGAACGAAGAACATATTTTCTTTCACATGATAGTTATATTTTTCCTATGAGCAATCTGGCCGAAACTCCAGCGAATTTAGGCCTCGAATAGGCTCATTCATAAGGCTTTGCGTAATTTATCGTCCGCTTGTGCAATAATCTCTCATTTAAGCTGCCTCCTCCACCGAAACTAATTTAATGATAAGATGCCAAGTCCTCACTCTCTAGATTTCACCCAGACTGACTGGCAATAATTTATGCCACCATCTTGTGTGAGCAGCGTGTCTAATTATGGAAGCAACTTACATTTTCCCAACTTTTCCCCATTGCCTTGGTGCAACTGGGAATTCCCTTACTTCGATTTAACGTTATTTTTTGTACACATGGAATAAAAATGCCGAAATGAATTTGGAACGTGCCGTATTTATGCTCAAACTATATAACATGAATTATTAAAAATATATAATTTGCATGGGCTTTATGTGTTCCAAGTACACCTTTTTTCCATGTGTACTGCCGCTCTTTGTAATTTATCAAATTTTTGTCTCATTTAGCTAATGCAAACAAGTTCTTTCTATTCCATTTCGCCATTTCGTTTGCGCTTATCTAAGCGAGAATTTCCGCAGATAAGCGAGGCCCTCTGTCATCATTTTCCTTGCTGCTGTTTTTCTCATAATTGTAAATTGCAATTTTATGCAAACAATGGATGGGTGTGGCTGGGTGGTTGTGGAGTTGGCATAGAGCGTGGCAGACTCGTTGACATTGCCGATAAGCCTGTGAATGTAATGGCTTCATTTGTTGCTCGTGCACTTGAAGCTGTTGCTCCTTGGTATTGTCCTTGTAAAGCGGGGCACTCAACTTGAATATACTTCCATTTTGTACCTCCTTGTATTATATACATGTACCCTTTTGTCTTTCCGATGTCTAGGCCTTTCGGAATCGGGCCATAAAACAACGGAAATGGAAATATTAACAAGCAAATGCACAGCAACAAGGGAATTATTCATAACCAAATGGAAATTGTGCATGCTCCATATATCTTTCCTGGGTTTTAAACTCAATGCCATTATTGTTTCACTGCCATGAAGAGCAAGAGCGTTTTGCCCCCGGCTTTCCGCTTTTCCTTCAAGTTATGTTCTCTGACATTGAATTCCATTGGTACATTGCTTGGATTATCGTGGAACAAAGTCGTTAAACTATTTCAGTGAAAGGAAGTGCATTTCTAGGGTCGGAAAAGGGCGGGGAAAGTGTTCACTATGGCGGTTTTTACTGGAGAGTTTTTAGTTTCAGGTATTCACTAGGTTGGTAAACAATTCTAATCGGTTTTATCAGCACTTGTGTACAGCACTTCTGCCAGTTCATTTCTACACTTAGATACTCAAAAACTTGAAGAATATAATGGGCAAATACTAAATAAATTAAATATTACCATTGGTAACTTTGCAGTTATTCTGTCATCTTTTACGGAACTATCGATGAAACTTTTTAATTTCCTTATCTATCAAAATCAATTCCATAAAGTTTTTTTAAGCCACCCACTGCCCACGCAATCACAAAGTTATGTAACGCACAATAAATTACAGAGTTCTGAAAGGCAGCAGAGAAAATTCCCCACAGTTAGCACAGGACATCCTCCCTCACCCCGGAATTTTCCACCCCCTTTCCTATCTGCAAAAAGCAATTTGAGTTTTTCATGCTGTTCCCATTTTTTTGTTGCTCTTCTGATTACATGATTTATAAGTTATCTTTAGCACAACAACAACGCTGGTTGCCATTATAGGGGTAGAAGCGCAGGATATGAACAATTTATGTTCAACGCTTTCGCAAAAGATTATTGTTTATATGCGCAAATTATGCGAACATAGCTGTGTAAAATTTCGAAAACATATTGGCCAAAAACAGAATTCGCATTAAACTGTTTAAGAGCACCCCGACAATGGTTGTAAATCATGTTTTACAATTATGCGTGAATAATAAATATAGGGAATAAATTTAATTTGCCTGGAAACAGAGTTCAGCGGCTTTGAAGTCGCTGATTAAGTGTGTGGAGCATTTTTCCGGGCCCCTGAATTTTTTTTAAAGGCGCGTAATTCCACCTGTAAGCTACTTTTATAGGGTAAAAGAGAAGGTTCTTGTATAAACTCTACTCAACTTGCGCATAAATCCTTTTAACGCTTTATTTGGCTTCTGACGCGCTTTCCTTTGCCATCCTTCGTCCTCTGAGCTTTGTTTATTTTTATTGTGTTTCTTGACTCGCAGGATGCTGTGCGTTGGTTTGTTTGTTTTTAATGCCGCTTCCTTGAGAAAGGATACCTCTTCCTATTCTTTCAGCCACCCTTTTTTTAGCTCCTCAGAAAACTGTCTGTGATTTAAATTTATTGGCAAAATACTTAAAGTAAATCCTTTTGTTTCACTTTGTTTCGTGTACGTGTCTTGTGAGCTTGGTGTTACCCGTTTTTTTTTTATTTTTTTAACAACCCTTTGACAATTTTCGGCGTGCTTTTTATACCTTCCACGTCTATTAAGAGTCTTTCTTGTGGTTCATTTTAAAATTCTAACTGGCAGCCACAACCGGAATCCCAGCACAGAATTTACCCGACGCCTTGCGGCTTAGGCAGCATCTTTCTTGTGGCTTCCACCCAGCCGCCCACCACCCACTACCCACCACCCACCACCCACCACCCACTCACCCCTTTGAGGTCATAACCTCCAGCCCCTGTCAGAATCATTGCAGTTTATTAACGAAGCAAAAACATGTCGCCTTCGCTGACTTGTTTTTTCCGCCGCATTTGAAAACCGTTCTCTCTGTTTTAATGATTTACTTAATTTTTTGCTTGTTTGCAAAACTCTCTGTTTTCCTTTGGCTTCTCCTTTTCGTTTGATGTCATTTTGGGTGATGGTTTTGGTCTTTTTTTGGTTGAGCTAATGAAGCGACTTATGCAGTGACATGGAAAATTTGCGGTCCACATTTTTCTCTACGTTTGATTTTTCTCTGTCCCTTTTTTTCGCGAGTGTTTTTCCGACCACTACACAGCATTTGCATGACGTCTGTAGGGAAAGAGTGCGAGAATTGGGGCTAAGAGAAAGGAGTGTGAGCTTATCAAAAGGCCAAAGGCTTTTTTTCAGCTTTGATAAATGAAAAGTTGGCTAATTGGCTTGTTTAAAAAGAGTGCTGCCACACTGGATAACTGTGGCAAATGCACAAGTATAACAACTCTTTGAGGCGCAAACTGAATTCATTAGCGCGTTGGGGGTGCCAACATGATTTACGTTGAAATTTTAGATGAACATAAAGTTCAGACCATAATCTAGATCGAAAACCAATTGAGGTAATTACAAAAAAATTAAATTAAAAAAAATATTCTAAATTTGAATGCAGATTTTTAGAGAATTGCGCCAGAAACATTTAGAGGTATGCCACTTCAAAATCCGAATAAGATAAGTTGAGTTATGGAGTTTAGAACTTCAGCCATAGGACATTTCTTATATTCCTTCAATTTCTACATAAGAAAAATTACAAAAAAATGTTAAAAAAATAAATTTCTAAATTTGAATGCAGTTCTTTAGGGAATTGCGCCAGAAACATTTAGAGGTATGCCACTTCAAAATCCGATTAAGATAAGTTGAGTTATGGAGTTTAGAACTTCAGCCATAGGACATTTCTTATATTCCTTGAATTTCTACATAAGAAAAATTACAAAAAAATGTTAAAAAAATAAATTTCTAAATTTGAATGCAGTTCTTTAGGGAATTGCGCCAGAAACATTTAGAGGTATGCCACTTCAAAATCCGATTAAGATAAGTTGAGTTATGGAGTTTAGAACTTCAGCCATAGGACATTTCTTATATTCCTTGAATTTCTACATAAGAAAAATTACAAAAAAATGTTAAAAAAATAAATTTCTAAATTTGAATGCAGTTCTTTAGGGAATTGCGCCAGAAACATTTAGAGGTATGCCACTTCAAAATCCGATTAAGATAAGTTGAGTTATGGAGTTTAGAACTTCAGCCATAGGACATTTCTTATATTCCTTGAATTTCTACATAAGAAAAATTACAAAAAAATGTTAAAAAAATAAATTTCTAAATTTGAATGCAGTTCTTTAGGGAATTGCGCCAGAAACATTTAGAGGTATGCCACTTCAAAATCCGATTAAGATAAGTTGAGTTATGGAGTTTAGAACTTCAGCCATAGGACATTTCTTATATTCCTTGAATTTCTACATAAGAAAAATGACAAAAAAATGTTAAAAAAATAAATTTCTAAATTTGAATGCAGTTCTTTAGGGAATTGCGCCAGAAACATTTAGAGGTATGCCACTTCAAAATCCGATTAAGATAAGTTGAGTTATGGAGTTTAGAACTTCAGCCATAGGACATTTCTTATATTCCTTGAATTTCTACATAAGAAAAATTACAAAAAAATGTTAAAAAAATAAATTTCTAAATTTGAATGCAGTTCTTTAGGGAATTGCGCCAGAAACATTTAGAGGTATGCCACTTCAAAATCCGATTAAGATAAGTTGAGTTATGGAGTTTAGAACTTCAGCCATAGGACATTTCTTATATTCCTTGAATTTCTACATAAGAAAAATGACAAAAAAATGTTAAAAAAATAAATTTCTAAATTTGAATGCAGTTCTTTAGAGAATTGCGCCAGAAACATTTAGAGGTATGCCACTTCAAAATCCGAATAAGATAAGTTGAGTTATGGAGTTTAGAACTTCAGCCATAGGACATTTCTTATATTCCTTCAATTTCTACATAAGAAAAATTACAAAAAAATGTTAAAAAAATAAATTTCTAAATTTGAATGCAGTTCTTTAGGGAATTGCGCCAGAAACATTTAGAGGTATGCCACTTCAAAATCCGAATAAGATAAGTTGAGTTATGGAGTTTAGAACTTCAGCCATAGGACATTTCTTATATTCCTTGAATTTCTAC